AACAAGTACACTTCCTAACACAAAGCCCCACATCACAGTACAAAACAAGTACACTTCCTAACACAAAGCCCCACATCACAGTACAAAACAAGTACACTTCCTAACACAAAGCCCCACATCACAGTACAAAACATGCACACTTTCAAAAACAAAGCACCAAACAACAGCATAAAACACAGTGGTGAATAAAGAGAAAATGGCTCTTGCAGACGCAGCCAGCAGTCAAAACAAAGAAGGCGTGCACTATTTATACACCGGAACTAACTGATCCCTGAACCCCCCCTGGTTACGGAACAACCAGTGGTGAGCGGCCCGCGGCGGGGGCCGACCTTTAATGAACCGCGCGGCCCCGTATGAGCGGTGCGTGATCACTCCATATGAGGAAACTTAGTACTACAAGTACAAGGGTTCATTCACTGCCTTTTGATAGTCTTTATGAATGGGAATTTTGAGGTGGAAAATAACCACTCAAAAGGTCATGACAGATAGAAACATGAAGAGGAGAAGACAGCCTTGTATCGATACCAGATTTCACATTGTAGCGTTTATTTTTACCGGCGTAACTAAGGCCCATTTTAGCCGTACTTTCAGCACAAACTGTGAATCATGTGATTGCCTGCCTGTCTGTAGGCCTAGGTTGCATTTTCATGGACTTAAAGACAGTTTTAGGTTCTAGAACGTATTTCCCAAGATGAGTTAGTGGATATAGATTAATAATATTGCATAAACAGAAAGTCATAAAATTGAAGGAAATATTGGATTCTATCTGCCGACCTGCTTGGCCTTAAAAAAAGAGAAATTAAAATGTCATTCGTTTGGATATATTATATATTCATACACTATTTGTATCTGTCAGTGGTCCAGCTGATTCAAGCCAGAGAGAATTCTTCTCATTTTTACAATTAGTGTTGTTGTTATAATATTAAGTCACTCACCCTGCTATAGCGTCTCCCAGGTCCGGTAGTTTGGTGAAGGCTCACGCGCAAAGTCACAGCTCGCCAAGACGATGCTATGCAAGACTCACAGTGGCCATTTATAAAGTATGAGCGAGGGACAAAAACTAAATTAATGAAATAACAGGCTAAAAAGAGGTGAAACAGCACTTTGCAGTAAGTTTCACGTAAATGATGCAATACGCAAGAGCTACGTTGGCATTCTTCAAGGGTAATAGAGGAGGACGATGAAGAAAAGGAGGAGGATGGGCGTATGGGTGGGAGGAGGGTGAGGGGGGAGGGAGGAAACAGTGGACAGAGTCCGAAAAACAGAATGTTTGTCACAAGTTTGAGAAGTACTGCGATGCAGTAAACAAAAATTGGGTTAATAGGCTATTATTTATACGTGGTATTTTCCATAGAAAGAGGGATTGTTTGCTGGCACAAAAAAATTTGCACAATAAGCAAGAAGACTAATAGACATCTCCGGGTTAACGAATAGAATTGAAAAGTATTGTCTAGTGAGCAAAAATTTATATCAGCAAGGTCCGGGAGAAAACATTAATTTTGTTTAGGCTACATCATCTTGTTTTGAACAACGTAGTTTGAGAATCTGCGCTGAGAAGTGGAATAACATGTTGTTTACTCAGAAGTATCTGCTGACAATTGCACTTTGTCATTAATCTAGTTGTGAAATAGGTCAGCACAAACAAACTCCTACTTCACCTCTACCTCACCCCCCC